AAGCTCGGCGAGTTTAAGAAGGTCGATTCCTTGGAAACTGTTCAAGGAAGTTATACGAGATAAAGCGTCTGCAACTACATTGTTTGCTCCAGAGATGTGTTGAATATCTGAAGTAAACTGCGAAATGTAGTCCAGTTGTCGAGACTCACGGGGAGAGTACTTGTCAGAAGGAGAGCTTAACGAGAAAGTGAGCGGTTTATGGTCCGTGAAAAGAGTGAATTCACGGCCTTCGATATAGTGTTGGAAATGCCGTACAGCACAATACATAGCTAGGAGTTCCCTACCGAATGTGCTGTACCTCGATTCGGTGTCTAGCAACCTTCTAGAGAAAAATGCCAAGGGTTGCCAGGAGTTGTTAACCCATTGTTGTAAGACTCCTCCGATTGCTGAGTCGGATGCGTCTACTGCGATGCTAATGGGTGCTCGGGTGTCCTGATGTGCGAGCATTGTTGCTTTAGCAATCAGTTCCTTGACTGTGGAGAATGCTTTTCGTGCGGTGTCGTCCAAATTAATGGATTTCGCATTTCCACGAAGTTGGTCGGTCAGAGGTTTCATAAGTGATGCGCATTTGGGTATGAAACGTCTATAGAAACTTACCAGGCCGTTGAACGTGCGTAATTGCTTGACGGTGGTCGGTTCTGGGTAATCCAGAATGGCCGCCACTTTGGTTCTAAGGGGTCGGATACCTTGAGCATCGATAGTGTGTCCCAGAAAGTCTAACGAGTCGGTTCCAAATTGGCATTTCTGAACGTTTACAGTTATGCCATGTTTTTGTAATCGTTCGAAAACAAGGTCCAGATGCTTGAGATGTGTTTCTCTGTCCGGACTTGCGATTAGACAGTCGTCAACATACGCGTGTACGAAGTTGAGACCTCGAAAAACGTCGTCTATGAATCTTTGGAATGTTTGAGCAGCATTCCTTAGACCGAAAGGCATTCGCAAAAATTCATAGAGTCCGAAGGGAGTTATGATAGCCGTTTTCGGTATGTCGTCAGTAGCCATAGGGATTTGGTTATACGCTTTAACCAAGTCGATTTTCGAAAAGACAGTTGTACCTTTCAAGGTAGCTGTCAAATCGTGAATGTGAGGCAACGGGTAACGATCGGGAATGGTTTTCGCGTTCAATCGCCAGTTGGACGCCAATCGTTGCTGTCCTTTTTAGGGACCATGTGCAACGGAGATGCATATGGGCTACTTGACGGTCGTATGATTCCTAAGTCCATCATGTGATCGAATTCGTTTTTCGCTAACCTTAGCTTTTCAGGAGCTAGTCGTCGTGCTTTAGAAAATACAGGTGGTCCTGTAGTCGTGATGTGATGTGTAACATTGCTGGTTACACACGGTAGTTTCGGTTGAGTTTGTTGTATCCCAGGGTACTTATCGAGTAGTGGTTGATAGAGTGGGTCTATCATATGTTTAACTGTGACTGGGGATACTCTACAACCAGTAAAAGAAGTTACGCAAACGGACAAATTAGTGTTTCCGTCTACTAGCCTCCGTTTGCGAGTGTCGATGATCAGATTGTGGTGTTGTAGAAGGTCCATACCAATGATTGGCATAGAAACATCTGCAACGACGAAAATCCAGTGGATGGGTTTGCGTAAACCCACGTTAAGGTAAACGTAGCGATCGGTTTTCCGTTTGCCGCCTGTAAGTTTAGGGTCGATTCGTGAAGTCGGTCGTTAGGATTTGCTGGGAGAACGCTAACTTCTGCGCCAGTGTCGACGAGGTAGCGAACTCTCGTTGTCACATCTGTGACGAATAACAGACGGCTTTGTTCGCCGGCTACGGTTGCCGTTAACGCGTGCCGGCTTGGAAGTTTCCCGAATTGTTTCGAATCAGTCGGTTTCGTGTTGGGAAAATTGCAGGGTTTTCTGCAATTTCTGGAAAACTTTCCATACTGGTTATGATACCAGCACCAGTCGGGGTTATCTGTCTCTCGTGGTCTAGAGACAGATCGCTTACGAGAAATGCTTCTACGTGGTGTGCGCGATCTCTTACGGTCGGTACGAAGACTAAGATAACGCGTGAGTGTGTGACATAAGTCGGTTATGTCATTCTGAGTCGTGTGAGGCTTTTCTTTGACTGAAAATACCTCGGTAGTAGAAGGTTTCGTAATTTCTAGAATGCGGTCGGCAGATACAGCTAGTTCGTCTAAGGCGTTGTTCTGGAACGAGACCAGAACTGCTTGCACCTGTTGGGGAAGTTTTGACAAGAAGAGTTGTTTGAATAGACCTTCGTCGAAAGTTCTTGGGCCTATAACCTCTCTCATCCGTTGCAACATGTCCGTCGCAGAACCGTGTTGCAGGTCGATATTGTTGAAGAGTTGATCTAACCTTTGTCGATCGGTTAGGTCTCCTCGTTTAAGAATCGAGCGTTTTAAGATTTCGTAAGGATCGGAAACATCACTAGTAAACATACTAGGTGTTACGTACCTGTTGAATTCGCGCGGTAGTGCCTTGACTACTGCGAGGAATTGTGCACGTGTGTCGATCACGCCGTGCTCGGAAAAGTCGGCTTCTGCGTAGCAAAACCAGGCTTCGATGTTGTCGGGCCAGAAAGGCATCAGTTGAAACGAAGGTGGGGACAAGGTCTTAAGCTTGAGTACTTTAGGTGTCTGTTCAGTCATGATGAAATATGAAGTACGATAATGAACGAGGGGAAAATATATATATATCCAAGAAAAACACGAAAAAAAATCACAATGTTTAAAAAAAATAAAAAATAAGGCAATGATATATAAAAATCCCAAAAAGGAACAGACTCACAGTTGCAATAAGGTGTACCAGATCACGACGGTCTCACCAATGATGATGTCACAGGTATTCAGTGTTTGACAACGCTTCTACCAGTAACACCTTCTAATATGTTTCGTTCCCACCAAGAGAAATCAAAAGACAGAGTCGAGGAGATCGGAAGAGTATATTTGGCGATGACCAATATACCGGGATTCTCTGATCTAATCTGGCTAGCGATTGTGGTTGATGTTGAGCACGGCGTTACTACACGTGATCTGGTGCGGATGCCTGACCGAGCGCCTTCAGCTAGATGAGTCCACTAAAACATATGGTCAGCATCCAATGTCGAAAACTTAGTGCTATTTATTTTGGGGATTTATTTACCGCTACAGTATTTTCTGACTTGAAATAGACGGTCAAACATATATGAAGTAATTATCACCGTATACAAACAAGTTTGTCATTGCTCTACGACACTCAGCATATGAAACTATCAAATATTTACGTAAATCAGCACAAGCTTGTTTGAAGACTAATGAAAAATCAACTTTAGGCATCTCTAAATTATTGGATTTATCATTGACAATCTAGCTTTAGTTACCAGAAACAGAGGAGAGATGAATTATCAAACTAATATCTGTACCAGGGAAAGTTTTTTAGCAGAGAATGGCTCAACAGGATGAAAGATTCAGCAGACGACCAGCGTCAAGATCAACAGATCGGATTCCGTAAGGATCGATTGTGAACAGACCAAATTGCGTCGAGCGATCAATTGAACGGAGCTCGTCGCTACACCAACTTCACTGACTATGAGAAGGCGTTTGGCAGTGTGAACAGGTGAACATTATAGAAACTTCTTCGACACTATGGAGTTTCTGGAAGATGGTCAACATTATAGGGATCTCATACGACGGACTACAGTGCAAAGTTGTGCATGGAGGACAGTTGATGGATTTTGATGAAATTTTGATCTCTGAGATCTCACCTCACCTGATCTACAAATTTTCTCCACCAGCAGTTGATAGATGTATTCCAAGTGAGGACCGGAGACAGGCAAGTCTGCTTACTCTCTCCTCCTCTTTCTTCTGGTGGTCGATTGGATTATGAAGACTTCGACATCTGACGGAAACCATGCAATACAATGGACAGCTTGGATGCAACTAGACGATTTGGACTTGACGGATGACCGAGCACTTCTATCCTATATATACCAAGAAATTCAGATAAAGACAATCAGTGAAACAACAGCTTTGCATCAGTAGACCTCAACATACACAAGGGAAAAAAATCATCAAATACAGCAAAGAGAACACCAACACAATCACACTTGGTGGTGAAACTCTGGAAGATGTGGAATCTTTCACGTACCTCGGAAGGATATTTGATGAACAAGGGAAGTCGGATGCAGACACAAAAGCAAGGATTGGAAGACAAGGAACGCATTCCTACAAATGAAGAACATACGGAACTCAAAACAACTGTCAGCAAATATAAAGTCAGAATCTTTAATACGAACGTCGAGACAGTTCTATTGTACGGAGCTGAAACGTGGAGAACTACTACAACCATCATCAGAAAGATGCAACCATAGCACACAACCATCGAGACCAACTGTTTTCATCCAACTGAGAGTAGGGAGTTTTGGCATAATACATCACAAAATGCATAGTAGGACGACCTACGAACTTGATTATACCAACTTTGCCACTTTTAAAGCATTTGACATTGAGAGACGCATGTGCTCTTAATTAGTAGGATTTGTTACAAACAAATACTTACCAAATTTATTCTGGAAATACTGCAATTTACGGAGGGCAGGACTTGATGAGCACGAATTCACGTACTATATTTCGTATTCGTAACTAGTGGGTTACCAAGTACAAAGAAATCATCAGTTCGTATAAACACTACAAAGCCTAGTTATATCTCTTTGAGCTTAGTATATAAGTAAAATCGGCTTATCTAGAAATCTCAGGTTTTCCATCAAATTTCGTACATTCTTCCAGATGAATATGAGATGAATGGCGATATTGTCATTTTTTAATGCTGATATATAGAATTTCAAGTCGTTTATTTTATTATATTACTGTTCCTAATAAGCGTTTATTGACTTCACGCACTTGTAGCGTGGAGTCGAGTCGTGATTGACTATGAACACCGCTACCAAAAAACACGTGCCAAGTTAATCAGAAGGCGAAGGTTGGACGTAACCAAATAAATTCATAAAATCTCCGAGAGGCCAAATATCAGAAGACAGTTAATGGACCAAATTGAGATATATATTTGCTGGCGATCTCGTGGTATCGAGGGGATACCGAGATCGTGCCAGGATACAAGCTTGGTTACAGAACGTAACCGAATTCGCACGAAGTTACAATCAAAGTGTGAGAAAAAGAATGGAAGCAAAATATAGCTGTCATTAGCACAGTCAAACAAAAGCACATTAAAACAAGCACTGGTACAGTTGGTTATGGTAATAATTGTTTTATTAAACCAGTCGTGTTCTCGTGATAAATGTGAGTCACTACACACTATTACATTTCTATGTATATATGTTTCACTTTACTTTTGGCCAACTATATCAGCTACTTATTCTCATACTAATTATATTAATTTACGTCTTAGAAACATAAAGTATTAAAGACCAAGTTTTACTTTATTTAACTGTAATCACACCCTGATCCAAATACAACGATTTTGTGGATGTGCTTATAAAAGAAGTCTGTAGGCAAGATAAATCCTACACTATAAATATGTACTTGTACAAAAAAACTCAACAACATATATGTTGATCATCAAGGTAGATGGTCTGTATTGAATGAGGCCTACCAAAGTTAGACTGGAGTGACGTGACCAACCAGCTAACGTCGAAGTCACATCTCACGCTTAGCACTTAACCTTGATTACCCTTTCTTCGTATTCAGGTACCATGGCTATTATAGTGATCGTACAGAACAAACGACGTCATTGCAGGAATATATTAGGAAGAGTAAGCACGAAGAACAGAGTACGACCATCGCTATATGGCCCAGTCCATAGTGTGTAATTAATAGACGCGCATCGGCTGCCCTTGACCTTGGCGACGGTCGGTAAGCTGCTCGACACTCAGTGACCTGACTGGCGGATGATTTGGCAGGTGCCATGACATTTTACTGGCACTACATATATAAACGACATGTTTATAAATGCTTACAGTATGCAATGCAGATGAAATTTTAGGAAAGAAACTACAACCGAATCCACTCATAAACTAATTTTTTGAATTATCACTACAACTTACCATAGAAATTTAAAGATAGATCATCTATCCGATCTTTTTTATGTTTATCAGTATAACGAAGATACACAAAATGAAAAATTGATAAATTCCTAGTAAAATGTGCTATGATATTCCTAATTTACTAATAAACAACATAATAAGTTAGTAAGCCGTAACTTAGTATAATATAAAGTGAAGTAGAAACTTTCGTCTAAATTTGAATGAATAATTTCACAGTAGTTAGGCGCTGAGTTAATGTAAAACAGTAAGAAAATACCTGAGAATTACCAATGATACGACGGTATAAAGATGTGACATTATTTATGTAAATATTTTCTGTATTGATTTATTATGAATTTCAGCCAGGGTGGCAGGTGTGAACTTCGTTCAACGTGACGATTTTAAGGTTGATATTTTTTGTATCAATTCAGAATAAACTTCGTTTAGTATGACAAGTATTAACTTTGTTCAGTGTGGCAATTATATTCCCAGTATCACTTCTGGTAAACTATATTCAGTGTGTGGATTTCTACATTAACCCTATATATTTCCTCATAGATGTGTTATTATAAAGTGTGTGCAAAAATTAGTAAAGAAATGATTGCGTTTCGTTCAAATGACGATGTGACTTTTTGACATGTGTAGGGACGTCAATGGACCAGTCATACGCTTTATTGCTTTACATTGTGGGAATTGCAGTGATTCTCGTTTCTAAGTATAAGCAGTAGGATCAACGAGTTGGAGTGGTTCCTGATTTTCAAGTACAGGCAGTAGGACTGTGAACACAACAAAGTTAACCCGCACATTAATAGCGATGACACCTCCAGATATAGAAAAGCCAATACGCCAAAGATAATACAATGGTTTATTGTTCTATTTTTTTCACTGATTAACTTTGATAAATTTGTATTGAATCCATAAATATCATTGTTACTGTTAGAATGGAATAAAGCAAAATAAGATATTAGCATTCGATTTCGTCCAGTCATTTTAATACTTTTGTAAAAAACAGAAAGAAGAAATGCAGACCATCAATTAACATAAACTTTTAAGATAATTGTTGAAAATGTTGATGCTAGGAAATAAAGTAATTTTCATCAGAATTTCTCATTAAACGTATGGATTTATTGTTTGTGATAAAAAAAGATTATTTTAGTCAAATGACCTGATAGAAGACGTAAATCTTAAGCAGAGAAGAAAATGGTGAGATTTATAGAGACATAGACAAGCGGAAAATCGTAATGAAAAGGAGACAGTAGAAATGAATTGGAAGAGGGAGGAAATTAAGTTAGATGACTTCTAGTGACAAGAACTATATTGGACTATGTACCCTTTCTAGACGTAATGATAACATTGCTTTAGTGTTATGAAGATAATCTTTAAATTTAATTTTAAATAATGAACACCTATTTATAACTTACCAGAAATAAATTTAAGCTAAAGTAAAGAGTATTTGACGGGAACTTGTGCTTGTAAGTGAGCTCTTAAGCAAAACTAACTTTATGACTAGTGTGCCAGTAAGAAAAACAATGCAAAACATTTGTTCTATTGCTTAATTCAGTCAGGATATTTGTTAATATTGACTTTTAGAAGTCTATCATTTATCGTTGCTACGTATAACATTAGTAAAGAACGAAATACGAATCATTGATTTCACCGTTATTCGCAAATTATAACATACACAGAAGTTATCTCGTTCGAATATTAATTGGATTAAGAATTTGGGAGGAAATACCTTGGACTTATTATCCCATTGAGCTGTTTAATGACCACTTATTTAAAAATGTTATAATGTCATCAAAATACTGTTAGTTATTATTACACTAGATGTGTTCTATGGTTAACGATGAACTCAAAAAATAGTAATAAAAGATCACATGTAATCCTGAGTGTGATAATTTCATATCATTTAATCAGAGGGGGGAGGGCTTTGTGGAGATTGTAGTAATTTAATAATAAGAACCCGTCTGATAATAATCATCATATGCTCACTAGTGACTGTCGCAAAGAGTTATTTCCTGGAGTTCTAGTCAGAAGCCCTAACCAGTGAAGTTCAATCGGGTCTGTTGTGAGATAGTAACTCACTTGAGACAATGGTGAACGGTGGTGCAATTTCGTGGCTTGATTGAAGTTAGATATTAACACCATTGGATGCCGGCTCAGTGGTCTAAAGGTTAGGCGTTAGCGCGCGAGACCGATAGGTCCTGGGTCCGAATCTCGAGGGCAGGATCGTGGATGCGCATTGCTAAGGAGCCTATACTAGGATGAAACGGTTGTCCAGTGCATCCACGTTTTCCATGCTAGTCTAGCATCAACTGACTCATGAATCCAATTACATCATTTGTCGACGTCACTTTATATATATATATTTCCACTTCGGATATCAAACATATTACAGAGCCACTAGAATACAATTAGAATTAACTTGATTAATAGTATATGTAAGTATAGTACATAAGTCTCGTACAGACTCTAAAACTACATGGTTGAATAAGAGCTTATAACAAACTGTCATTGGAAGTGCTAACTCTAGTGGCGTTTGTAAGTTTTCCAGTGTCCCTATTCTTGTCTAACCTCGCCATAGACATTCGTCTAGTGATAATGCTCTCATCGTTTAACGCTTCAGGGATTGATTTCTTACTGAGAATATCGCTTGCTAACTTAGAATACTTAAGTAACATAGTCTTGTTTTGATAGAAACTCTGAGAAAATGCAGTCTTCTGATCGTCTTGAGCAACAGTGTAAACACGTTTGGTTTGTAATTTGTTCCCTCTAAATTCGATATGTTGCTTCATGACTGGTTTGCGTTGACACTTAAATTAATGATAACGAGTGAAGTAGTTGATAATGTTCTACTCTAATATAAACATTGTGTTGTCATTCAAAAAACTGACTGACAACTAAAGGTGAAGAGAAGTAACATACAATAAGAGTATGAATAATCTAGTGAGGTCGTTTTTAAAAATGAGTGATACTTTTACTGACAACACTATTTAAGCAGTACTAAGACGCAGAAATAAATATCTAAAACAGATGAATTTTATGAACAACTAATTACTATCACTTTGACATAGTGTATCCGATGAATCATGAATATTCTATGTGTGTGTTTGTAGACTGTTCCATAAAGAGCATTAATTTTCAATTCTGGGTATGAGTAAAAAATAGAAAAGTAATGAGTTTATGATACGACTCACTGGATTAAAGATCAATGTTTTGGATTAATATATGTTGATGTATTTCAATTCCATGAATGGGTGCTATAGATATTGCAATAAAAAAATACTTTAACGATACTGTTTTATTGTTTAATTTATAGAAGATATTCGTTGTGAAAATTTCTCTTTATAAAATACTTCCTGATTTTATTATTTTCGTGAATGTTATTTAGAATTTCAGTTGAAATGTATCTACTTTGATTAAATGTTACATTAAGCCATAACTGAATATCTAGGTATTTAAATTGGACTTATTGAAAAATGAATCTAAATTCGGTACTATCTACTTTTGTTTTAACTAGTCGAGTCAAATTGGTTATTGTTTTGGAAATGCCTTATAAAGCTAAACTTGGTTTTCTGGTTGCATTGATTTTTATCTTTAATTTCTTTACCAACAAAACAGTATGATTAAAAGATGAATTAAAATGTCAAGCTTTTCAGTGTTGTAGAAAATGGGTCTTTTTATCTTTCTTAGATTGTCAAGACTAATTTCATTTTGTGAAAAGAATATGATCAGTGAAGGGTCAATAGTAAAAGTTTGAAACAGGAAAGACTGAACGTAACAAATTCATCATTACCATTTTTCCATATAGTTGATTAGTAAGCCTTTAATATATAAGTGTATTTGGAATTAAGTGGATCTATTCTAGGGTCCATCTCAAGATCGGATAGTGGACGAAGGTTGGGAATGGGGTTAGCAACCCAGTCTCATAAAAAAGAACCTCGTCGGAAAAGCACCAACCAGAAGAAATAATTTAAACCTTATTTGATACCATATAAAGTTTATATATTACGGATACGTAAATATCTAAATGAAAAAAGTTTTCATTTTCATTTGTCAGGTTGTTAAAATTACAGTGACTGCATGGTTTTTAACATAATACACTAAAAGCCATTAAATCAGTTTTGATTCTTAAGATAGTTAACCATGATAAATGATTGTTAGGAACTAGAATGAAACCAGTAAATCTAAGTAGTAGCCTGTCTGCACATTTTAAATGATTTATATTGACGAATATTATGCTCAAGTGCGCATGAAGTCTGAAAGTTAACATTCATGAAATTTGTAAAAAAGGTAATTAAAAAAAACTAGGTAATAAAATTCTGTTAAATCATTTGTTAAGCAATAAATACTGCTTATGTTTTGAATAGTCACTAGCAATGAAGTTCAGAATTGCATTTATCTTGAATTTATCCTATGATGATGTTGACACTGAAACTCGAGCCCAATAACCAGTACATCATACGTGAGTTATTCACATGATCACTCGATCACATTGTATGTGAATTTATGAGTTTTAAAAGTTTAGATTTTTGCTTTGTTGATACTCAAAAGAGATTTTAACCAGTCATTATTAGTACATAGAGTTCTTTATTTGATATCGAGACATTTTCTGTAGTTACAAGTAGAAAATAATTGTCGAATTTATTAGCTCTTATCACAACTTAATAGTCGAGTAAATGGCACTCTAAAGCTTAAAACGATCCATACTAAATTTCAGTCTGTGTCATTATTAAAAATGGAATGCGGACGCAGTCAAATAACAAGCCTCAAAAAAGACGAAATACGTGTCAAAAATTCCACCAATAAGCACTCTCCAAGGGAAAAGCTAGTGTTCATCATTGCACATTTGTGACCATGTAGACTACTTATTCAAATGATAAGTAAAAACATCAATAGAATAGTTATAATTTAAATAAATTTACTATTAACATGATACTTGAAGTTTATTTTGTGGAACCAGACCCTTGCAATCTATAAGACGCCCTGATGATGCAAGTTATTAAGGTGACTTCACTATCTATCAGCTTGGAAATCTTCAGATAAGTGAAATGATGCCGTCACAGTTAACAATTACGTGAGGAATTGTCCCGGAGACCGAAACATGGATAGCAGACTTCCTATCAACATAGCGTCTCAGATTATCACAAAACATTCAGTAAACACTTTATTTAGTAATGACATAAAAACTAAGAGATGAGCATAAATTAACAAAAGCATAGCTGAGAGAATGCAATGTCAGCCTTTGGTATACTTAAAACAGCCACTTACAATAGATAAATTGAAAGCTTAAGATTAAAACTGAAAAAAATTGATGGCTACAAGGATGATTAAAAACCTCAAGGAAACATTCAGGGTAGATTTCGTAAAAAATAACAAGACTTCTGGATAGACTAGTGGGGTCAACCATAAGCTGGGACCAGTGAAAACCTTGAACTCAACCAGGACTATATATACTTTTTCATACTTTCCTAGGACCCATTTATTCGGAAGATTCCCAGGTTGAGGTAGGATCTGTCTGATGTGAATGCGAATTGATTCAAATCTAATCAAAGTTTACATCTGTAAATATATATTTATAAATTGAAGATTCTTTATGCAGCAAAATCCGAAAGTACTGATATCAAACTCGTCAAAACGTAGTGGTAGGAAGATGTATATGAACTTAAAAGATAGTTGGTAAGGGTGATACTAGTTGGAAAGAAAGACTAATTATTCGCACACAGAGACAGACGGGAATAAGGATGCTTCATTGGGTATCGAGATGATGAAAGATGGTATCCCACAAAACAGCGTAGATTTTTAACCGTGTGCTTACAGTTGATAATTTTCATTGGAACTAACGATGTTTGTACTAATATTAAATACCTGATGAGCTGTTTGTTACCGCTACAATATTCAGATAAGTAATTGATGTGCCAAACGTTTCGTCCACCAATCTCATTTTAATATGAATTAATAAAACTTCTATATTCTTATTTAAACTTGACTTTTGATCGATGTGACTAGGTGTGATTATTTTTTCAAAGGAAACTTTCTATTGATTTGAATATATATACTTTATAATGACATATATTTTGTTGAGGTTTCAATGAGTTTTAAAACATTAGGATATAATTAGATTTTTCTAATAAGACACAGATGAAATAAAACAAAATCTTATTGCGTTCGCTAGTTTCAATTAATTACTTTTATAAAAACGATCAATTTTCGATAGTTGAAACATTTCGTATGTTGATGTCATATTGTATTTTACTTAACTGACAAGTGATCGAATATATTCTCCGAAAAAAAATCACCCGATTTGTCTGATCGTAATTTAAGTGATATTATTCCTACAACTTATAAAGTATGCAAAAATCGATTTAAACGTTTCGTAAATTACTAGTCATTATGATTTATTTAACTTTCCATTCTAATATTTCATTAAACTTATACATATGAGCAGAAATCACAGTAGTTTAATGAATTATAGATAATATAATAATAAGATGTGTCACTTTGAGTAATATTCACAAAACTGTTATTCAGTATTGTATTTATTAACAAAATCTAATAGCTACTTTCAGATCACCATATTAGAAATCAAAATATGTTATTGTGGTGGTTATTGAATCTTATGATAACTATTCCTGGAATCGATATGCTACCTTACCGACAGACAACAAGTATGTAAACAACTTCCAAGATTATGATAGCAACAACAACAACCTGGATGGGTATTGGGATGAGATAACACCCAATTCTCAAATGGACAATATGAGAAATAAATATAAGACAAACAACTTACAATACTTATATACAGCGCCAGATTATTCTAGTTCGGTTGTGGCCAGTTCTTTCAAACCAATGAATGAAGATATAGTACAACAAAGTCAACAGAGAGTACCGTATAATGTGGGTGAAATGGAAGAAGCGGATACACTAAAAAGTCCGTCTGATGATGATAGTGAAGACAAATATCGCCGCTTAGATTCATTAGAGAAAATCTCCGTATACTATTAATGTGTTGTAATTATGTTGAAATATCTTGTGAACAAAATTCTATAGAAATCATTGTTTCTTTTGAGTGTATTACTTGTCTAAGCAATAGAGACATCCAGGATGATAAGCAGCACTTACTGGAAGCTTTTAAACATTTGTAGTCATATATATATATATATATATATATATATATATATATATATATATATATATATATATATATCCTCATCTTTAATTCTAAATCATGAGTATATTGCGGTTTCCTTAACTATGAATATGAGCAATAAGGACCGCTATTTTAATGTGATTCGTATTTGGCGATAGAATATTCATGAATAACGGAAATAATGATCCGCATGTCATAGCATATAGTTTGCTAATCAGGCTATTGCTTATTTGTGTTAATTTGAATACCCTAAGTATGTAGTGCGTTTTAACAGATTGATTGCGTAATAGCATTTAAGAGATATTTTCGTTGATATTTCAAACATAAGCATTTTCTGTAAGAAAATGGTCTATACTGACAGTTGAGAATACAAGGATTCAGTGCATAATTTAATCATGCTCCCATTCTAAACCACTTTAGCTATCTGGATGAATATAAATGTTAGAAAATAAGGTTATCCTGATTACATATCAGAATCATTTGTTTACATAAGTCACTATGTTTATAAATACCGACCTTAATGTGTTCGTAATTGTTATGGAGCCTAAATTAAGTAATAAAAAATCGTAAATCTAGCATAAATTTTTGAACTAAGGATTAAATTATATCAGATACAAGATGTTTTTGTTTATCCCCCACTTTGAATAGGTTAAATAGTGAGGTTGATCTGAGAACTTGTGACTATTCGTTTTTCATCAACGAATGTTAGAGTGGTTAGAAAATCGATTGTAAATGGTTGATGGTCACAAAGTAGATAGTGAATAGGATACTAATGAGTATACACAAACTCGAGGAAAAAGTGATCAAATAGTAGATTAATTTATAAACGTGTTCCGAAAAATTATTTCACTCAAACATACTCTAGCTCACAACCGTTTTGAAATTAATTATAAAATTGTGTAATGGATAAATTTAGAACCATGATTACCTCCAAACTATTGCCAGTTGGGATAAGTTTCACATGTACAGTTACATCTCTCAAAATCCTCAGTAAAACACATGCTCTAACGTCTAGAAGTATCTAACTGTATTGTAAAAATGACACAGTGAGCTATTTTATCTCCTTTGTATGCTTATTCACAGAATATAAATTCTGGCAAAAAGAGTAACTTGAAATACGCACAAAAGAATTGATGTCGTGAAAAGATAAGATGACACTTGTAAAGCATGAACAAGCCACTATAGTTGGTGCTGCAAGATGATCATATTGGTTGAATTATTCGCTGAGCACCAAGACGCACCTGTCCATTAGCACTGCCAACATCAGGTTACGGTAGGATGTGACCAATACGTCGGAGACAACGACGACCGAATACAGTCCTCGAACATCCACAGCTTGGAAAGTTTAGGTTTTAAAAGTGCAGAACGGAAAACTTCTTAGCTATCCTTGGTAAACATGGCATTTAATAGTCAGGATAACATCCCGATGGCCGAGACTGCCATCAACCACTCTGGCTTTTATCATACTTAGATTGATCATATCTAACAAGCCATTACCAGTACTCAAACAACTACCTAGTGACAATTTTTGACTATATCCAAAGGCTTATTACAAAGAACGAAAGCTGGGACATGTTTCTGCAAACATACTTGTATTTTGAGAGTGAAAGCTGCATCCTGTGATTACAGCACTAATCCCCAACAGCCCTTGTTATATTTCTCTTATTGCAATCCAGCTGTTCCTATTGCTTAATACTCTTGGACACCAATTCACTCGACAAGTCCCCAAATTAGAACACGGTCCCGCTAACAGCCTTCAAGATATTAACAAACTTACTAAACCAATTCTTTTTCGATAGGGAGTCTAAGGGCACAACCGTTCCCAACAAATAGGATAGGGTGCTAAAATCAGGGAACACGACGGTTGTTAGCATCTAGTATGCATGGTAACGTCCTAGGATTTGTTGGAGAATGAGGATAAGATTAGTGAATCGATAAAATGGAATAGAACCTGTCTTTTTTTAGTGACTTTGTTTGTCACAAGTTTTGAACTCATAGAGTGTTAGAAATTCAATAGTTTAAAGGCAATATGTAGCAGATCAACCCATACAATTTTCGCATAACTTATTTCGCCTCATTTAAAAATTGCGAACGACAGTCACATGATTCCCAGATAATTAAGCAATCCCTACATATCAAATCTGCGAACAATTCGGCTATTTGTCTGACAAAAGGTTACCTGCATACTGAACATTTCAGAAGTTAAAATATTTACTCACTTTCACTCCGTGTTACGCCTATGTGATTGTGAGATAGTGGAAGAATGTCGACAATTTTATCGACAACGCCTTCGATAACACAAAGTTCATATTGAAAAAAGAATTAAGTAACAAACTATTATACTTGAATGTGCTGAACACTAGAATCAATACTGCGAAACTAGGGACTAAAGCGTACTGAAAACCAAACGACACAGAAATTGTTAACTAAAATAGCAACAACTCACAAAATCAATTGTACGAAAACTTTATACAAAAGAGTGAAGATACACAGAAGGATATCAGAAAGTTCGACCTGATTATTGAGGTCAGTAGTAATAAGTGTCAATCATAAGCAGTAACATCTCTTCAACTGATTTCGTGCAAAGAGACAGAATAACAAAAGAATGTAAGCCGGATACTATCTGTAAAAACATTACAGACGTTAAAGCGCCAATATCAATATACATTGGTAACTGTGGACATATATTCTACTGGAAAAACTTCAAAATATTGGACAGAGAAAACCGAATGATCTAGAGAAGCTCAGCACCTAGATCAGTCAGTAATCAATAAGCTTGGTGAAATAAACTCAATTTACCAACCAATTTGAAAAATCATAAAAAAGCATAAGGGCGAAGAGGAGGACAATCAAAATAGATGTCCAAACAATGGCAGAACAAACGTCAACCATTTACTCAACTTTAAGATTGATGGAACAAATTGCTAGCCATTTATGGAGAAATTCTCATGGCTCACTTCTCTCTGAAATGTCTGGGAAAGACAATGAAAACCTCACGAGTAAACCATCCATCTCAGAAAATTTTATTTCAAAAAAATCCGTAGGACTATAAAAATGCACTGTGCGAGTTCGAGGTTACGAACCAGCGTTATGTTTCAATGACGCTAGGGTTCTTGATACCAATTTCTTGAATAAATTGAAGTAACTCCCAGCAGCAGGAGAGGCGTAAATGCTGCTTCCAACTAGATAGAATCCTTCGACTAACAGGTTTCACAGTCATTACGAAAGTTTTGGGGAGTCCTATGAGTTATTTATAGAAACAAACTCACGGTTTGCTGAAGTAAACCACCAAAGCTCATGGAGTTGAGGGAGCTCTCAGAGATCCAGCTGGCATAAGTGGGACGCTTAGTGAAGTTGTGGGTGGTCTTAATCCTCACTTTTATGGAGACATAAATTCAGCGTTCATCTGCACTTTCCAGTTGGCTATCAACCTTGCTCGGACTTATATTTGAATGCAGCGGATGGTGTAGTCAGTTTACTTTTGTCAGTTCTTTTAGAAAAGTAAATTTCTTTGCCACCAAAATATAAAATAAATTTGGCCGATACCAAAGCATCATCAGAACCCTGATAGATACTCGAAAAGAAACGCCAGTCCTGAATACAACCAAGCCACTAACAGCAAATAGGAATGTAATCAGTTTTAGTGCAGCCTTGTATAGCAGAGGGAGGATGATATGTAGGAGACAAGTAATGATTATGTCGGAAGTTGGTGCTGATCAGAAAAGGGTAGTAATCTGCACGAAATCCCAGGCCTTACCCATGATTCAGCTTGCGGATAACGAACCTCTATTTGTTACCCAAACGACTCTGTGCTTAGACAACTGACCTGTGTATTTAAGTCCCCAGTTAGCACATTATCTGTCGGATTCCACTGATGGAGCCTTTTAAACCAACAGCATGCAATCCACTGTTAATAAATATCCAAACGATTGGTATGATATATGCTTTAACGCATAGTGTAACACAGGACATTAGTTTTAAAATATTTTCAAGACTTTTATTGACTCGGGTGATTAGAAATGAGATAGATCCCTTAAAATGTCAGCTGCGAAGTTGTACATCAAATTTCTAGAAGAAGGAACCATTTTATTCCTGAGATATCAAGCATCATGTAGAAAATATGGGGAATTCCTGAAGTGTCTCGAAGTTTGAACCAAGTATATTCAAATGTATTTCGACAATGGTTGCACTACCCAGCTATAAATTTCTTAGAATTACGAAAATGATTTCTTTTCGATTTGGAGCTTGTGAATACATGAAATTCGTTATCGCGGTTGTTTGACAAACTGTCACTAATGATCGGTAAGCTTGTACGAACTTTTTTCAATCAGATAACTAATCGTGATGCGGTAGAGGTCGTAAAAAACATATCAATTCAACTAACATATGGGCAATTTGAGAACAACGAATATAAAATAATAAATCGTTCAATTGATGGACGAATTATCGTGATAAAGTAATATACTGTAATCTAGATAGTAAATTAACATCACACATAGATTACCTATTTATCACCTGTAGGTCAATTATCTAACGCCCGACTTCATACGATTCATCCAGTCTAGATCCTAGTTTTATCAGGACATACCAAGGACAGTTTCATGTACCCGGATTTGAGCCATGCCTCATGTATGGAAGAACTCGTGATACTAATCAGATGCTGAAACAGAAATTGATAAGTCTGGTTCGGCATCTATTAGATAAAGATAGAAAGTTAATTACCTTAACAACCAAGTCATTGCACGTCAGAAACTACATATTATACACATAAATTCATGAGAAAACTGCCTTATTTCTTAAACCCATATGCTTGATCACTCCAAACTTATCAACCTCAGTGGTAGTAACCAGTTAGTTTAAAATATTAAAGACGGTGCTTTGGAGAGAACTTTGTTTATTGACTAAGTTCAGTGTTGTTAGGAAGTAAAGGAAACCCTAATTATTTACTACTATTCTAATGAATAAATGTTGTATAATAAGAGCTAAATATTTTATTTGTCTATCAAAAACGCTGGTATTTAGCGATATGGAAGAGTATCCGAGTATATATAATTATAAGCAAATGGGTTATTTCCTAACATTTAGCTAAAGAAAAACTACCAGTACTCTAAGCTACTACTACTTCTTTGAACATCTGATCGATTACAATTGCACAAAATACAAACAGAAGTTCGTAAATTTTGTTTCATGAGAAAAATATAAAATCGGCTTGAAAACAAAGTATGATATGAGAAATGGAGCTATTATGACATAATACGGGTAACAAAACTAGAAGTTGAATGGATTCAGGCAATCAACCTAAAGCATGAACAATCAAGTATTCAATATTCTCTACCAATGAATATTTCAACTCTCTATTGTGGAATAATAAGCAAATAGGCATAAAGTAAAACAAAACAAGAAAAATGCTAAATTGCTGTGTTTTTACCCTTTTTTTCTTACAAATATATCTGTGTTCATGTTGTAGCTACAATTATTTTTAAAAAAGATCTTTGAAACATTCAACAATATAGTGAGTGAATAAATTAATTCAGAAAATGTAAAAACGAACAGAAATAAATACTTGATTGGTTATTTGTTTACTAGTTTCTAATATTAAAACACAGAGTTAACGAGTGTATTAGACGAATAAGTTGAAATAACAAACAAAACCTTGGTATTCAAGATTGTATGGTATCAACATAATAAATAGACATGTATGTGTATATAATAGGAGGAAACTTCATAAATGTACGTATACATATGAACGATATATGTAATATTTTATAGATTATAGCACTTTTTTCACAACGGGATTACTTGAAGAAAGGTTATTAAGATACATTAGGATGTGATCAAAAATCTTGTAATTTTCTCTTGACAGATCAATTCAAATTGTCAGGTGGTGTGAAACCCATAGATTGAGAGTTCGCATCTGTCGGAGGTTCGTCAATTTCTAATTTCATGTCTATAATGGGTGAGAGTAAATAGTAATAGATGATAATGACTGTTGAATTTCTGGTATTTTTATTGGCGATTTATTGAACTAAACTGTTTACCTAATATTGGAATATTGAGTATATACCTAAATGTTGTCATTTATGGCGTGTTACGTCCAATGCGGATAGGTATTCCCACTGGGATTCAAATTCACTACTCATCGTTCTAAACGCTAAGATAGTGAGTTACAATAACTACATTTTGTCAACGAGCAGTTGTTATTAAAGTATTCATGTCAATAATTTGCAAAACACAGTCACTTATCCCATAATGGCTATAGTAATTATGATCATTTGCTTATGCCATAACCTGTGGAGAAAAGGAATCTATTATCTTGGTCATTCGGATTGAAGGGATTCTACTCATTTGAAAACGTAATATCATCACAAAGTAATAGGAGCCAAACAAAAACTAAATGTAATAAGGAATTATGCGTTGGCTGTTACCTATAGGTTACTGGATAACTCCAGGTACAGATGTAACTTGGATACCTGTCAAATGTATGGATACCAATAAGATTGTTCGACTGTTCACTCTTAGAGTAGGCGTGTAATGGTTGATTATCCATGATTGTGTGGACATCTGTGTTGAAAACAGTTAACTTTGACTAGAGGCGAACGTAGACGACATATAATCGTCATTTAGTGAAGTATAGATCTATGTTCTTGCACACAATTGTTAACAATTTTTATCAAGCGATAGTCCAGAACTAACGGAGGAAAGAAAAGTGTCTAACATAGCTAGTTTCATGAAGTATAAGGTGCACACACCTTTAACTGATAACAAAGATTTCTCAACATATATGTACTTGTGAACCACTGTTTACAAATTCAATCCTCAAAAATCATACACGGAAAAACTTACATGGTCGTAGGTTTTCCTCATCAACTTTACTAATACTAGGAGAGTCATCACCTTCCTCAAGATGACCATGTGTACGGGAATGAATAGAAGAAAAATCACCAGGACTGTTGGATGCACTATTTGTTTCGTGAAGATATGTAGGTTTAGCGTTTAAACGACTAGTAAAAGTGTTTATACGCGAATTAAGAGCTTGAAAAAGACGGTCAGCTTCTTTATGTGAATGCATAACAAGTAGATAAGCACAAAATTCTGGTTTTGTAACAACTGAATCTATAGAACATGAAGGCTATGCAGACAAAAGGAAAAGCAAACATGGTCAACTACGTGAATAGATGTAATACGTTAGTACGATTACACACAAAAAAATGTTTTCCATAATAGCGGTTCCTTACAACTTACAGTTATGATAGTGGTCCAACGGTCTAGGACATATCCACATTGTAATTATGTCCTGTTTATAGAAGCTGATCGATAAGATAAACAAAGATATTATGATTGTTATACAGTGTAAGTTCATGTAGTAATACAATATAAGCTACACCTATTGAATATAACTACTTGGCTGTCTGAAGTGTCCTTCAAACCTAGTGAATGATTCTAACAATCAAACTAATAACCTACAACCTCCACACAAGTGAAATTACTATTAGTATATAAAAATACACACAGTTACAATTCTATTAAACGATTCATAATTACCAAACAAGATTTAACCAATATGCAATTTCTTCAATGTACGGTTGGGTTGAGTTCACTTTGTATTAGCAATAGTATAAAATGTCATCAGTAAAGTTTAAGGAACACGCTTTCTGCTGACAATTATCATTAAGTATTCTTAACATTACAACAATTTGAAAAAACATCGTTTAATTATGAAGGTTGTGTTGCTGCTAGTAATATTTATACAGTCTTTTGGACACTTGACAGTCTAATCACGAAGTTTAAACCAATCGTAGTCGTCGGGATCTAGGAAACTGTGTATCGTTAGTACTGTCATACCATTATCTGAGTCCTGTTTTGTGGGACACATTGTATGATATGCATATTCAATTCTGATTCCTTTCAAATGAAGTTGCAACTATATTATTTATTAGGAAAACATCAATGACAAATCAGAAGCTATTAATCAAAAGCATACATTTTCTTAAGTGAAGAGATTCAACTAGACTAATGTATCAGTTAATAAGTTGAAGCTTCTTTAAAAAAAAACTTCACAAACAACGGATTCAATCTCAGTACCATGTACCAGTTTAACCCAGAACAACCATATTGTTACCACTATACAATCCTATCTTTGAAAGTAAAACATTATGAGTATGATTTACAGATAATTGAATAAGAATATGCTTTAATATAAGATGATATATAGTGAATTGCGATCTCCAGCAATTGGAATGGCAACTGTCCGTAAGTTATCACTGAAATGTAGTTGCTTTCAAAAATTTCCTATTATTGAAATTAGGGGCTCTATCTGTTTATTTAATACATAAACATTGATACAATGAGGCACTAAATATATATGCGCGACACTTTTTTATTTGATTTGTGTGAAGGCTGGACTAGTGCCGGGCGCCCGAAGCGGGTGATTTTCTTAGGGGGGCCATTCCTCGAGCCTTTGACCCACAGGTTCAATCCACAAGGCAGTGGAGCAACGCCAGGAATTCAGGTTTTACTCAGTGGTTGGAGATGATCGTCGCTTTTTAGGAAAAGAAATAAAAGACAATATACGACTAGCGATGTTTATCACAAACATAACTTCTGTTAAATGACAGATAGCACAGAAACTAGATTAAGTCAAATAGTCAACACGCTGAGGGTTAATTTATTCGGTGTATTGTCACTGATATACAAGATTAGGAAAGAATGTATTACAACTTATCCAAAGACAGTGTACATGAATAGAATGATTGGAGGTACATATTAAGAAATGCTAATCAAATCGGTTCAATCACTGGTAACTGATATGGATATTAGTATATGTAATTAGAAGATGAAATGAGCAAGGCACTAGCTCACCTTATTTTGAGAATCATTTAAAGTTTCTGACGGATGACAGACTGTAGTCAGACGAATAGAGCGTTCATCAGCCATAGCAACGTTCAGACCGGACCAGATAGGAACATTGGCTAAAAGTTTCAAAGTTTGGCACGTGCGGATTACTAAACGAGACCGTGCAGGCGGCCCAGACGGAAAAGGGGAGACTTGACTAGGTAACGATGAAGATTTCATTGCAACATCATTCAAGTGAATGTAAGCCTGTCCACGACCGGCCCACTCATGTTTGTGACGATCAAAACAATAAAAATGACAGTAAGCCTTCAGAGTAAGGTATTCTCCTTCTTCCCCAGTGAGAATAGGAGATTCTGGAAGATTAGCTAAGAGATAGGTCGACTTTTCGAGCATCTCGGAAGTTACTGCAGCGGCAGATTCTTCTAATGTTCGCTTACTAGGAAGAACAGTACAATGCTCACCAGTCTCAGAAGCATCTATACTCTCTTCTTTTTCTGGAGATAAACTGTGGTCGTTTGACTCTGAAGACTCGACTGGAAGATCCTTGCCAGAGATATCACGGTTAACGACTGTAGATAAAGAAGCATTTGTGACGCGTTCCGAAACGTTATGGCCGAATATGAAATCGGCACATTGATTACTTGAAACCGAACTGATAGGCATATTCTGAGAATTTACACCCGATGACAATTTCGGGGGTTCAGTTGCTTTGTTATTACATGGAAGTGTAGAAGATTCAGAACTACCAGATGGACTGCTTTCACAAAGACGTTTAACAACGTTATCCAACGGTGAATTTCGAAACTGTAGTTCTCCCACATGACAAGAGTGATTTGGGGTCGATGAATTATTGAACGAATCTTTACAAACTGGAGTGAATACCGATGGTCTAAATATGTTAGTCTTTGGAAATACAACCACACTTGGTGTAGGTGAAAGGACACTATTATTGGCTATTTTCGGGGGTACATGGAGTGAGCAATCTACATCTGCTTTGGCTTGAATTTCTAACTGACGCTTACAACCAGTCACCTTATCTTTGTTTGAAACAGGTGCTATGTCATGACAAATTTCATACGGGAGAGTAGTAGCGTTTGACTTTCTAAAACTTATCATTTCAAATATTTTGGAAGCCGACTCATCCGGTGGAAATCCAAAAAGATAATTTTTGATATGTCCTTCCTCATTAATTGCACCTATCCTCAAAGTTCGTGAGTCAACTATAGCGGCAGGCATTTGAGACCAAATAAGAGTATTAATCAACAATCTGCGTGTAGACACTAAACGCACTACTATCCGGGACCTGCAGAAAGCATTGGTATTCCCTGGCACACTGTCGTTGGGAATATCATTTAAATGGAAATGAACAGCCCCAATATTATTCCACTTCTGCTTATTAGCATCGAAAATATGAGCTCGGCAGTGTTGTCGAATGATTGGAATTTCCCCTTCTTCACCAGTAACTAGGTCGACTTCTGCTAACGTTAATGTTTCCTTTCGCTTGTCCTCAGCTACTTCCTTTGCGGAATCTTCCAGATTTTTCGAATCCTTAAAGTTTGCTTGAGAAGCAGTAACTGCTTTAGCCAGTGTGGTAAAAACACAGGAGGCGGAATCATGACTTGTAGATGTTGATGTCCATAAATTAACCGAGGCACCTTTTGACACATCAGCATTCACAACGCGTGACGAAATATTTGACCCAAAAACGTAATCGGGAGGAATTTCTTTCTTAGTTACAGTAGAACTTGACAGAATGGTAGGTGACTTAGACAAATCATTTGATGTTTCAAGTGACACAGTGGGAGCTTCTGTGCAAGGAACAGAATGATTAGGTATTGAACTAGAAAAATTCTGTTCTATCGATTTAGCGTGAGGACAGTTCGTTCCATTGACGTTAATTTGAACTTCTTCCAGATCAGCGTTACTTTCCATAATGAACAAATTCAATTTCTCTACAAAAAAAGAAACGCTAAATGAATATACTCAAATTTGCGGGAAGTTTAAAATAAGCAGCCATGAGGGAAAATTATCTGACATATTTGACAGGACAATATCATTTGGGGATTTCATATAGAAGACTACAAACCTGTCAGTTTTTAAGCTGACTAAACCCTGTCGTATATGACCTAAGAACACTGGTTGAAATTATCCTATTTTTAAACCTTACCGAATTTTAAGTCATTATTCCGGCAACCAAGGGATTAAACATCTGCATGATACATCTTTAATTTCTAGCCATTAAAAAGTATTCATTGTGACAATCGTAAACGCTAAACGTCTTCAGCTTGCTTAACCTTTGATGTATCAAAATAAATCACATACACTAAGAAGTTGAAAAAGTACGAGATAAAATAGTTGGTGGATGGGGATACATAATACATATCCCAACCATTTTAGTAGATAAAGATCCACTACTTCCTCATTTGGTTTGTTATATTAACTTAGTACTATGCATCTAACCTCAGAACTGCTAGCTTAATGGTCCCAACGTAAAGGAGCATTGCTTCAAAACACCTATAAGCGAATACCAGTGACCTACGAACATCCTGTTTTAAAAGGACACGTTCCAGCCATTAGGTACAACGAAGCAAACTGTTACAGAGTAAACCCGTCCTTTAGTTGGCAAGCGGACATCTCGCTTACCCCACAAACATATATGTGGCTGGTCCTACGTTGTGGCTGACTGACTGACTCAACCCATAGACAACACAAATTAGCAAAAACCGATTATGCTTTCTGAATTTATGCCGAGATTTCGTCAAACAAAGGCCTATCAAGACTGAAGAGATTCCTAAAATAAGTGGGCCAGTCGACCCACTCAACTACTTCACTCCCTATCATTGGTTTAGGTGTCAGTGCGAATCTATCTTGAAGTGATATTGTGCGTTTAGATGGAGAGAAACGCATCCCAGACATCTTTGCACTCTTGTCCAAGGCTACCAGAAAACTATAGATCTTGCCGATATTTTCAGGAAACAGAGCTATATCATGTTTAGTTTAAGTTCAAAACAGAATCTCCTGATAAATCGATTCCTGGTAGATTAAATGAGGAAAGTGTTATCTCCCAAAAGATGTCTATGACAGTCAAATGAAAATAAGAAATATGGAAAATCTTTACGAACGCCACTGAATGTTAGCACTTCTAATGACTGTTTGTCATAAGCTCCGATTCAAATAGTAGTATTCAAATACAAAGTCTGCACAAGGCTGCTTTTAATTGTCGGGAACTCCCATAAAATATTTCGGCCAACAGAACCGAATGCTGCCTTAAGGTTGAGAAATAGAACTGTGACTAGGAGTCGGTAGGTATGTCTGTGTTCCAGAACTTAATGAGGAGCAAATATTTGGTATACGCAACTACTCCAAATGCTAAGACTAGAGCTCTATCATTCCCTAGACTATTACATCTGAACCTGCTGCTTTATCCCACTTTAGATAAATCACAGATTCTCAACTTTATTACTACTCAGAGGACTTGTGTTGACATTCCACTGAAGTTGCTTGGTAGCAGTTAAAAACCAGTTAAAATGTTCTTCAAAATCTTTTACACATCTTTTAGTTTGCTGGGTTGAGAGTGGATTACTGTTTCATTCTTTTAGGAAGTCTCACCAACTTCCGAATTTTAATTTATATTGTAATAAGTTTGAAAAGATGTCTATCGCCTATCTCGGAAATTTAAGACAGAAGTCTGGCTAAACGGTTGTTACAATGGCTGCGGTCTTTGGTATTACTACTAATAGGCACAATCCATCAAGATAGTGTAGGCCACGATCTAAAGTGGTCATGGAAAGCTCTAACTACTTTTGGTCAGCCAACATACTTGAGAATCTAAATGTCTGAGAATCAAATGAAACAGAATAGTATGTTGATCAAATGAATATCACTGAAACATTGCTGTACAAATTTATGGCTGCCAGAGACAACTAAAAGCATCAATTAAAGTATTGGGATGGTAGGTATAGCGATCCCTTAGAAACATCTAACTGGTATACCTGATCGTAAACTGACAGACTGGTAACTATGCAACTTAACTGCTATTTCTATGAATATCCCAATAAAGTGGAGATAGCTATTGTTATCGACAGGGCTTCAGTGAGGCGAAGTTACGACTAGAAATTTTAAATATTAGTAAATTAAATTGGGATTTTAACTAAACGGCCTAGAGGTTAAATACTCGCACGTAAGACCAGAGGTCGTCAGTTTCATTCCTGGTGGAAGGTTTGAGAGATTTAGGTTGCTAGACACTGATGAGACCAGGTAATAATATCAGAAAGCCATAAATGTTTGTGCCCTTGCCCTATGTAAGTCTGACAGTATGAAGAATATTCGTTAAGGATTCAACAGAATACCCATAACGCTTATACTCGTATACAAATCGAAGAAAAAATAAATGGTGCAGCGTCCCGCAAATGTATATAAGTGGTAGTATGGAAACGCCAGTGGAAGATGACCACGGTAAAGGCCAGTTATTTTCAGACTACTTTAGCAATGTATATACAGTAGACACACTTCTCTTGAGCACGAATAAACCCTGTCACCCATACTCTAGATATTGTGACCCTTAAAAGAGTTGGCCATTAGTCCATTAAGTAATTCAATGTAGGAAAATATATGGGACCCGGCGAAATCCCCATTAGGGTTCTGGAAGAACTCGCGCACTTAATAGTAAATCCTTAAAGTATGCGTTTTATATCTAGCCCAGGGTAGTTTATCAAATGACTTAAAGAACACATTGGTGAGTGCTGTCTTTAAAACAAGTACGATACAAACCTCATACGGACGAACAATTTTCTAGTATAGAACCACAACAAAGAGCAACTAAGCCGCCAAGCAGGAGACTCCAAAAAGTTCACGACTTGTCAGATGAGTAACAACTTTTCAAATAATTATAGCGTGAAACTCCCTATCCTAACAGGCGACTGTAACCCTATTTGTCAACACGTTCAAACGAGTTGTATAAACTGAGACCCCCATTGCTAGGACTGAAACTAACAATCTCACTAATGCTACACTCAGACATCTGTTCTTAAACTGAAACTGATTTGTCAAATACAAGCTTGTATTTCGGACTAATGGAAATGTTTGTTATGTGAGAGCCAAAGATACTACCCATATTAAGAAACAGGAGTGCGTTGTCCTAAATTCTTGATAATCGAGTGCCTTACATAGCTGGTTTTCTGCATGAAATATACGATAATGCTTGACATCAAATATCCTTCACAAAATCCACCCAAATAGGCCTTTGTCAACAACATACTCCCTACTTTGTTTTGACGATAATGATTATCGAAGATCACTACTTATTGTTTCTCGTTGAGTTAATTAACTGTTTTGATCGTAAATTACGCATCAAAACTACTGTTTACACTTTAATTGCATCTACCCCAGTTAAAGTGATATTGCATTGAGTTTTTCGATTTTGCTTCTGTGTATTTATTGCATCGAAGCATACTTGGTCGACTTTTACTTGGTTTATTTAGTTAAGGTTTGAAAATCCTTTTACATATCCTGTTTTTGTCACCGTTCTAGTTGATTTTCAAGATGGCTAGGTCTACTCATAAATGTGGACAACCATACTGCTTATTTCCCGTGGATGAAGGGATGCAATGTGATGAGTGTAATAAGTGGTTCCATAAGATGTGCACCCGATTAAGCCCCACTGCATATAAAAGGTGTTCAAAGCCCAACTCTCATTGGCTTTGTAGTTTTTGTTGCTCGAGCAAAACATTGCTTATCCAGGAAGCAATTAGTCTCCTGGTGTTGGCTAATAAGAAGGTTGATGAGGGCTGTACTGATAACATTGGTACGGATGGCGAAGATTGCGTTAGTGTCGTAAGTGCTATCACGGCGCAAGCCAGACATCTACCTGTGCAACCCACAGTTAAACGTTCTCCCCCGAAACGATCAGTGAGTGACACGTCATTAGACGTTGGTGGCCATATTGCTACAGCAGCAACCGGTGACCCAGATAAAACAATTACTGTCCCGAGTTGTTCTAATGTAGACGTTTCGACTGATGGAAAATGGATGACGCGAAAACGCAGAAGAGTAGGAAAGATAGCTAAAACTAATGACTGTTTACTTGGTAAGTCCTTGGTGGACTCTCAGACCAATCCGCCAAAGTCTCATAGTAAAGCTTCGTCTGACATTGTTGTGAGTCATTCGCTTGACTCCCAGGACTCTGTTAAAATAAAAACTAATCGTAAGATACCAGTAGTTAAAATACAGGATCTAACGTCACGGTCGAAAGCTGTGAACACAGTTTCAAAAGAAGCTAAACCCCTCCCTAGTTTAATTATTTGGAATCTAGAGGAGTCGAAAGACAACGACCCTGCTAAAAGACACGCACATGACCTACAGTTAGTGGAGTCTGTGGTAAGGAATGTACTACCTGAAGAGGTTTCAGGGGTACATATTACAAAAGTAATACGACTTGGTAAATGGGTTGGAGGCGAGACCCAACCAAGAAGAATCCTGAAGCTGGTTCTCGGGAGTTTCGAAGAAAGAGACATATTATTGAAAAGCGCACTAAAAACTCGTGCCTCAAATATCCGTATTCGACCAGATTGGCCGCTTGAGGATCGAATCAAGTGGAAGAATGCTCTTACGGAGTTGAGGACTCGCAAATTAAATGGCGAAAATAACCTTACCATTAAGGGTTTTCGGGTAGTCAGGTCTTGGAAGCCAATGCTTCCGAGGCCTGTATGGGTAGAACGATTGATTTCCAAAACACCTTAAGTGTGTGCTACACGAACGCTCGTAGTCTTAGAAATAAAACGTCCGAGCTAAGTCTGATGGTGCAAGAATTATGTCCCGATATAATCGTTGTTACAGAAACTTGGTTCACCGTTGATATAGACTGTTCTCCTTTCATTGCTGGTTATATCTGTATCAGAAGTGATAGAGTTTCAAGTCGCAAGGGGGAGGTATAATATTTACGTTAGGGATCACTTTCGTATACAATCAACCATATCGGAGGCTCATATCAGTGGCACATGTGAGGTTGCATGTTGTAAGATTAAATCTAGAAATGGGTTAGTGACTATAGGGGGAATATACCGTAGTCCGTCTTGTCTTGCTGACGACTTTATCCTAAGACACATCTGTTCTTGGAGTATGGCAGAATGTTGTCTCATCATTGGGGACTTCAACGCACCGCATATCAACTGGATAGAGCTTACAGCTCCAGGTAGTGGTTTCGATAGCGACCTTTTATCTACCGTTATTCAGTGTGCACTTGTACAATGTATCACAAAACCGACACATATTGATTTGCATCATGATCCGTCACTGCTGGACCTCGCCCTCACCCACCACTCTGAGGATGTCTTTGATATCCAGCACCTTCCTCCACTAGTGAACAGTGATCACGTTGTAATTCACTTTAAGTTTAGGACACATGGTATACAATTCGTATCTGCTCCACCCCGTCCCAATATCTGGCGAGCTAATATTCCGGAAATCAGAAACCGTGCTATCTCGACTGATTGGTCGGTCGACGCGGATGGATTGATCGAAGATGAATGGAATAAGTTTAAGGCTACATTCGAGTCCGTAACGTCGCCGTTTATCCCATGGTCAGCACGTAAGCTATCACATTGCCCTCCATGGATTAATAAGGAAACCCGGAAGCTGTTAAAGCGTAGGAAACATTTCTGGGACTTATTCTTGTTGACAGGTCATGCACCATTTAAGCGTGAGTACCAAAAATACCGTAATATCTGTAAGAAAACCATAGCCAAATCCCGTACCACTTACGAACGACAGTTAGTATATGATAGCCGTACTTGTCCGAAACGATTGTTTTCGTATGTTAAACGGCAAATGAAACGTAGTGATGGTATTCCCCCGTTACTGTTACACGAAAATTCAGAATTACTAGCTGAATCAGATCGAGCAAAAGCTGAGACTTTTTCAGACTATTTTAGCGAAGTCTTCTCTACGTTTATTGTAACAAATACTTGTCCCACTCACACCGAGATACCAACCATTGAATCTGTACAGGTGACTGAGGAAACTGTCCTTCCGTTGATAACTAACCTCAAACCTGGTAAGATACCGGGCCCTGACGGGTTACATCCACGGTTGCTGTCATCTCTTGCGGACATTATTTCAAAACCGCTTGCGACACTCTTCAACATGTCCCTCTCACTCGCCAACTCCCTAGAGATTGGAAGGACGCTATAGTTAGTCCTATATTTAAGGACGGTCAGAGACAGTATCTAACTACCGGCCTGTCAGTCTAACTAGCATAGTCGTTAAGTTACTCGAAAAGATAATTCGGGTTAGGTTGCTAAGCCACATAGATTTACACAATCTGTTAGCTCCTGAGCAACACGGATTTCGTAACAAGCGTTCATGCTTGACTAACTTGCTTATTGCGAGGGAGGATTGGACAGCAGCCCTAGATCACGGTCTGTCTGTCGACGTGATATTCATAGATTTTAGCAAAGCGTTTGACAAGGTTTCACACGTAGGTCTTATGCAGAAGCTCACGAGCTTCGGAATAATAGGTACTGTACATGAGTGGATAGGAAATTTCTTATGTGACCGCAGACAGAGAGTTAGGGTCAATGGAACGCTATCCGATTGGAAGCCGGTCAAAAGTGGTGTACCCCAAGGCACCATCTTAGGCCCTCTGCTCTTCCTTCTCTACGTTAATGAGTTACCGCTGTTACTTAGGTCGTCGACATTATTGTTTGCAGATGATGTAAAAATCTGGAGAACAATAAAAAGTGCGGCTGATCATGTGGATCTTCAAGCTGACTTAGACGATTTAGTTAGATGGGCTCGAGAGTGGGGCTTAGAAATCAATGCTAGGAAGTGTGCTAATGCACATCGGTCACGGTAATAGTTACCGTTACACTATTGAGGGTAAACCTCTTCCATGCGTTCAAGAGCATAAGGACTTAGGAGTAATATTAAGTCATGATTTAAAAACAACTACGCATTGCAAAGCAGCCGCTGTCAAAGGTTTTCGTGCGTTATGGTCACTTTGCCAAGCGTTCAAATTTTATATCCCATATATGTTAGACCACATTTAGAGTACTGTATCCAAGCAGCTAGCTCGTGTCTGGTAAAGGATACTAACTCCCTTGAGCGTGTCCAGCGTGTGGGAACGAAATTAGTGAAGGGTCTTTCTAGACTCCCTTACGATGAGCGTTTAAAACGCCTAAATCTTTTCCCCTTGTCGTATCGTAGGACACGAGGTGACCTTATACTGGCATTTCGTATCTTTAATTATGATTTGGGTGTTAATATGTCTTATCTTTTTGCTCCCTCCAGCACTAATAATCTCCGAGGTCATAGCAAGAAAGTTCACAAACTGCGATCTAATAAACTTAAAGTGGGGTCCCGTTTTTCTCATTGAGTAGTCGGTGATTGGAACGCCTTACCCGAACAAGTGGTATCAGTCCCATCAGTGAATACTTTCAGGGAGAAGCTGGATCTTCACTGGAAAGCAATGTGTCAGGATTAATACAGGTTCACCAGCCTACTATCCTTATTACGGAAGACTGAGCGATGGCCTAGTAACTAAACCACACGACTGCTAGCTTTACGTCTGGCGTTCGAACCACAAATCGTTTGCATTAGTACTAGCAGCCTAAAAGGGTGGTTACCTTACACAAAATAGGTAGCCCAAAGTCAAAGAAACAGACTTGTACTTGACTACTAAATTGTGTGAATAAAAAGTAATTTAACCAGCCATACGAACCACAGTACAAGGGACCGAGTAGTTATCAAACACATGATACCGACATCATGAGTCTGTTACTTTAAGTTACACGGAAACTAAACTATAACTAAGGAGTAAGGGAGTGACAGTGGTCCATCTTAAATACATCTTGACTTGGTCCATGGATTTGGAAAAATTTCGATAAGCCTTTAGGACAACCAGAAGCCTTTAAAGATTCGACAGACTGAAATTGTGGACAAGGAATACAATACTTAAGTGCTACACTGAAGCTTCAATACTCCACTTCTTTCAGTTACGTTGATAGACTGTTATTTTGCCACTTATATTATTGAGCTATAAAGTCTTTTAATTATCACAGGTCAAAGGCACATTAGGTAGTATGACAATAAACATGCTTATATGGAACAGACCAGTAGTAGGCTGATAAGCTTACGTCAAAAAGTGGGCAAATTTATATTCATTAACCGTGCCAAGTGGCCTTGACGGAGTAACAAGCGCGACTAGCCAATTTATTACAACAATATTTTGCATTGTACACACAGTTATTAGAATGAATGATCACATGTAAAGTACCTCAAACTCTTAAATTTGGGTAAAACTATTAAAATTACTGTGGATGTTTTGTAAACCTTCCCAGAAACTTCCGTTTCAGTTTATAAAGAACAGAAGACTAAGTGGCCTGTGTTAGTCCTCAAAACTGTAGTGATCCAACTTTCTTCTGAAAGCGGCGTCAGACGGAGCTTCAGTAAAGTGTTGACGTAGTGAATTCCATTCCTTGATGAGTCGACTTGAGAACATTTATAGGGTGTTCTCGTAAATTCTCTGGTTTGAAGGACAACGAAAGTGAGGGATATCTGATGCAAATTCATCACCAATTACTTTAAAATCTGATTAAGTTTCCCATGATTCTTCTACATGACAACAGAAATGGATTTACTCAAGCCGGTCCAGCATCATAAGAGGGCTTTATGATTCCGAGAATCAACTCATTTAAGGTTCTTTGAATTTTTTCCAACAACACACTGCCTCTTTTTAGGCAAGGACTGACCGTTTGTATTCAGTTCTTTTTTAGGACGGGCGAATACTGTATACAAAGTCAAAATAATTTTAGCATCGACATGGCCAAAGACCACATGTAATGAACATATGGATCTATAACCTTCGGCGGCAGTGTGCAGCAGTTTCTAAGTCTTGGCTAACGATGACTTCTAATTTACTGCGTGTCTGGACAACAGGTGGCTCACTATTATCCACTGTGTATGTATATGTACCATGGTGACCAACATGCATCATAATGCACTTGAAAGCACTTGTCTGTAACTGCCGAATTTTAGACCACCCAGATAATTTAACCAGGTCATTCCGAAGCTCTAAACTATCGCCTTTATTTTTGATGGCTCTCCATATTTCAACATCGTCAGCACATAACAAAACCTGTGGTGATAGGAGACTAAGAAGGTCGTCTACATACAGGAGGAACAACAGTGGCCCTAAAACTGTACCCTAAGGCACTGTGATAAGCAGTTTCCCAAAGAGACAACCTCGGGTTCACCCGTACTCTTTGTTGACGCTCAAGTAGGAAGTCCTTTATCCACAATAATAAACTGTCTCCAACCCCGATATTACTTAACTTATATAACGGCCGGTTGTGAGGAACTTTGTCGAAAGCCTTGCTGAAGTCAATGTTAGCTACATCTACAGGTAACTTTTGATCTTTATGAGCGCACCAACTTTCATGAGCCATCAATAATTTTGTGAGACGTGAATAACCTGTTCTAAAGCCATACTGTTTTTCATGAAGATTAAGCTTTTAGTCTAGATAACCAAACAACCCCTTCCGAAGAATCTTTTCCAAAGTTTTAGCAACCACCCTCATTAGGTTTCAATGTCGATAGTTCTCATGTCTACGTATCATACCTGTCTTGAACATAAGACTTACTAAGTCATTCTTCCAGTATTTTGGTAATCTGCTTTGAATTACAGACAGATTCAAACATATGCTTAGTGGATTCGCGACAATTTACTGATTCCTTCCGTAACGTGTGATAGATGTCAGCGGGTCACATGGATTTGCCTTTACCAAGCCCATTTAGCAGACCAAAGACAACTATTTCTTAATGATCACAGTGAGCAGTGTGTGTGGAGTGAATTCGTATGAACTAAAGAGAAGGGTGTTTCTACAATATATGCATTGCTGAAGTCACTCGAGAATACCTGAGCTTAACCATTACTGTCGTCCACTGATGCTTCAGGACTACTGTCTCCTCGTAATGCTGGAATATAGCCTCTTCTCTTAGTCCTTTGATTTATGAACGAGTATAAGAATTTAGGTTATTCTATAGATTCCTTAACAATTTTTTTCGTCCTACAAACTTCTAGACATGTTGAGGGTCGACATACAACATTTTGAGATTCCGAATGTTCAAATCCTGTCCCATGAGAATAAAGTAACCTAAACTTCTTCCATATTTCTTTCCTCTTACAGAGAAGTGTGTGGTCAACCTCACTGGACTACGGTGGGGATTTTTAGCATATTCTTTGATGCAGTCCAAGGAACTTGCGGTCGATTAACCTTTATGTACACATTTCTGAAGGCCTCGTAAGCCGCTTCATTGTCTTATCCGCTGAGTGTGTAATATCCTGTATATTTGCTTTCCAGTCGTTTGGTCCGGCTATGGCTGGCACATCGTCGTCGACAGCGATATGGAAATCAAAGACTTGAAACGCAAATAATCAAACTGTCTGGCGACACTCTCGTAATGAGCCAATATGATATCCAGCAAAGATGATTCAGAGTCCATGTCATACCTAGTCTCATCTTTCTCATGTCGCACCCGTGCACATGTAATGATAGGATCAATTATCTTTTTTTCAAGGGATTTCTTGACGACTCAGTTTTTAGATTTTTCCAGCCTTCTGTAGGTACATTAAACTCGCCTAATATTAAATATCGACCACTTAAAGACCGAGCGTTGAAACCGTCTGACACTACGTCATTCACCTCACAGTTTCGACAGTTGTAGACTAAACCAATCAGCAACCGCTTTAGTAGCTCTTTTATCGATCCAATGTTGTTCTGAGAACGAGTTCTGTGTTCCGAACTCACCTCCGCATTAACTCTGTGAACGACAAATAACCTGTCACCGTGATCAATCCCTGGGCTGCTGTTTGTGGAAATGGCTTTTCTTTAGCAACACTGGGTCGTTTCTTATTCGTGATCTGTATCTGTTCACCAAATTTCATTGAAGTAGCAATCGCAGTCCCGTTGCACACACTGTGGGGTCTTGGATGGTCGTCGATGACTTAGTTAGCTAGGTTTTTATTTTTTCCTGCTAGAAACAGACCCAGCTCTGCGATTGGGTTTTCTAGACGTTCTCTGCTCACTGCCGTTTTGGGGGAGGTGGAAGTGAGAAACTTCCTTTCTTGAGCCTTTATTTCAAAAATACCTTGTATAGGCCACCTTTTCTCCGTTGGCCCATGTAAATCACTCGATTCTGAGCTTATTTCAGATAAATTCGCGTCAACTTGTGTACTGGCCGAGCGTGTACTATTTGATGTGTCTCGATCATGCTTGTTAATATCCCATCCAGTAGAATTCACCGTTGCAGTGGCTTTGGATACCAATCTATTTGTGTCCGATGAGCATCACTGACACAACTCCCCGTAACTATTTTTGCGAAACCGTTTGAAAGCCTCATGTGTTCAATTCGTGCAACTTTCATGATATCATCCTTTGCACTCATCACACTGCATGCCATTTTCCACAGGGTATAGATAGCCTAGGCGCGGGCAAGTGCTTTATTTGACACTGTGTAGTCATCATTCAGAGATTTTCAAGAAGTAACTGGACACAAAGGATACCCAGAGACAAAAGAAGCTGATGATAAGAAAAAAGTAAAAGTGGAAATTTGTTATATCCAAAAGTACAAACAAAGACAAAGCGAACTAATATACTCAAAAGCACAGATGATAAATCACCTTAGGAAAAAGATATAGTCTTCGCAATTACTTTAACCAAAATAAATTCAAATAAAGGAAAAACAGTAGTTCCAGTGCATATACGCGATCAAAACAATGAAATTAAGTCAATCATGGAAAATGCCACTGTTTGTTTTTAAATATTTAATGGTGAGTTTGTGTTGAAAACTTAATTTCCTAACTCCTGTATTTTCCGATAAGAAACAGTACTCTGTTCCCCCAAACACTCAGTACAGTCAATCTGGCGACTAATTTGTGCTAGTTCCACTGATTTTAGGTAGGTGTGAATTCTGTTAATTTGAAAGTTATTGGGTGAAATATCTGATAAAGTTGAACACTTATAATTGACTGTTGATATACCATCAGACTGTCGATTGGCTGTTTTCAAACTTTTCCCTAGGTTTCGGAATGTCCTAGTACGTTCCCTTGGCATTCGGTACAGAGGCCTCTTCTCCTTTTAATTTGTGCCAATTACCTTGTTTAATATTACTAGGGCCCTATATGAAGGCTTTGGTGATCCATTACTACTAGACAGGTAAATTATTTAGACAAACTTTTTCTTGTTTTCTGTCCATAACTATCCAAATCATTCAAAATCGTCGAATGTATTTTGAATGGAATCCGTTAGGGTTGTAAGTCGCCTCTAAAGACGAAAAACACAACTGCCCATTTTTGTAGATTTCTGGTAAAGCACGACAAATCACCTGAAATTTACCCAAATATGAGGACTTAACTGCCAGATCTGCATTAAATTTACACAGACTTATTGCTTAATTTCTCACAAATTTGCGTTCAATTCACATGTTATACACAACTTTTATCTTCAAAAAACTAGTTGTCAAACAGTTATTCCGAAAATTTCTTGGCTAGTAACGGCAAGTGAGTATGGAGCATTTCTCTCACAGTAACAGCCTACTTGCTTGACCTAATCAATTCTATGGCAGTCAGAAACTATATTAATGACTCCTTAAACAGAAAATGCATAATCAGCACCGATAGATTTCGTAAATGTCATCAAAGTGAACATTTTCGAAATACTTCGAATATCTAACAACTTTAACGTACTTCATCGTCACACGAAGACTGATGTGTTTTAATTGGCAATATATATTTGACTACCATAAAAAACTTTTTCCCTTAATAATATCTTGTTTTGTAGTTACAGATTGCATTTGAAAGTTGATCTAGAGTAAGCATCAGTTAGATTTCGTTGTGTCTATGGTGTCCCGGAAATAAATGTAGTCAGTCAGAAATTGATATCAAGAAACAATCTGTAGAGTAACGAAAATTTGGGTATGGAAGAATTTCTGAGTTTCTTCTCATGAAATTTTCCTGTTGCAGCCAAAGAAAAAGTTGAGAATGACTGAGCAGGGACACATATTTGTATGGTAGTCAGATGTACGGCAGCGTATAAATTCCAGGCTTTATGGTTTCCAGTGGCTATATTTTCTACGGCGAGCGGATTCATGATCTGCTACGAACGCTTGATCCGGTGGCTTTAATGGT